GTGTGTTAAGGGCTCAGCCCCACAAGACTGCCCCCACTTCAGACACCAGCTACAAATGGGGTTCTGGTGACCTGAACTTTTGCCTGGCCAACTGCAGATTTGAAAGTTGCTACAATTCCTTTCACAGGTTTGTTAATTCTCTAGAACATTTTAAAATCTAGGGAAAGAGGTTTACTTATGATTACTGGTTTGTTATAAAGGATACAACTCAGGGAAAGCCAAATGGAAGAGATGCATAGGGCAGGGTCCAGAAGAGTTTCAAGTGCTGGAGCCTCTGTCCTCATGGAGTTGGGGTGCACCACCCTCCTGACATGTGGTTATAGTCACTGACTTGGAAACTCCCTGAATCATGTTATTCGGTGCTTTTATGGAGATCTCATTATGTAGGCATGATTGATTAAAGTCATTGGCCATTTGGAGATTGAACTCCATCTCCAGCCCTTTTCCCCTCCCTGTAGGTAGACTGGGGGAGTGGGGCTCAAAGTGTCAATCCTTGGGTCTCCTGGTTGGTTTTTTTGGTAACCAGACCCCACCCTGAAACTATCTGGGGGCTCCAGGGACTTACCTCATTAGCATAAACTCTGGGTTGTTTGAAACGGGCTCATTAATGACAAAAGACACTCCTGTCACTCAGGAAATTCCTAGGAGCCCATGACAAAGGCCAAACACAGGGTTTTCATTACTCCACACTCATCCTTGCCAGGACTCAGTTTCCTCATCTGTAAAAGTAGAACAAGATAACATGTCCTGCCTTACAGTTATTTTGGATCATAATTATGTTAGGATTCAGTGAGATGTGGAAGTTATATATATATGATTGGCACAATAGGGACTCCATAGATGGTAGTGATCACTATGGGCAGTGTTATGATTGTCCGCATTGTACTGGGATCATTTGAGCACAAGTTGCTGCACAGTGTGGACCTAGTGGTTGTGAGCTTCCCTCTCACCTGTGTGTAGAGCTGCGAATAGAGCTGGCTGCAGAGCTCAGTGGCTTGGGAGTGTGTGAAACACACTCACTGGTCCAAACTCAATTAAGTGGACATAGAGACAAAGAGAACAGTGGAGCGAGGCTTTAATGATGGTCTTGCAAGCATTGGCTTTCTAGTGAGCAGGCGCACTTGGGGAGATTGGCGCCAGTAATTTATCTCCTAGTACGCGAATCCCCCCCCCCCCAGTTCCTCATTGGCTGAGTACTACAGGGTTCACATTCTTTCCCAGAGGATGTCTAAGCCCTTTATTTCTTTCCCTTACATTTGTCTTAATTTTACTGGTAGGTTTAAAAAAACTCAAACAGGTATAGCCAGGCCCTTACCAATTCCCCCACTCCCACTCCCACTCTCAGCCTGAGCAGCTTCCACCACGTGGCCCTTTGTTATAGGCCACTGTAACAGTAATACCTTACTGTTAAAATGTTTAAACCTTCTGGTGGGAATAAATCACATTTAGGTTTTATGCTCTTTTCTAACAGGAGTGATTGCAGTGACAGCCCAGGGCTGACTCTGTTTACAAATTTTGCATCTGTAATCATATAATAAATTGGCAAACATTAAATGAACATCTGCTTTGTACCAGGTTTTGGGAACTGGAAGCACAGGGTAGACTGTGGGCTGCTCTCCTGCAGTGTGTATCTCAGTACGATCCAGTTTTGTGTGAGGCCTGGCAGAACACAGGCAAGGAGGTGGTGGAGTCCTCAGAGCCAGGAGGCCAGGAGGAGGTCATTCAGGGAAAGTTCAGAGAAAGTGATAGATTCCATTTGGGCCCTGAGGGTTGAATAGGTGCTTGCAGGACACAGAAGTGCTGAAGGGTATGGCATGTTATGGGATAGCCCATTCTGTGGTACTCCAGCAGGGCTACAGACTTGAGGTCCTCTGGGCTGGGCATATGATGTAAATGGGCAAGTGAAAATTTGGGCTGGAGGTCGGGGAGCCAGAGGTGGTGGTTCTCCAACTCAGCCCCAGCCGACTGGTGTTGCTTCAGGGGACTTCTAGGACAACTTTTCAAGAGCAGCTGGAAGTTAGGTTTTGCTTTATTTTTTATTATTTTTTTTAGAAGTTAATTTTCTGCGTGCAGTCTTCTGGTGTTAAGTGTTGGCTTATTCAAATTTGTTTTGAACCCTATACAAGTTAAACTTATCTGTGGGCCAGATACAGGCAATAGGCCTCAAGTTAGCACCCTCTAGGTCAGATCCTATTGGTCTGAATTGGAGTTAGGAGGGCCCACACCTGTACTGGATGGTATGTTAGTGAAGCAGAGACCCAGAGCCTGTGCATGTGAAGGTGACCTTCCTCTGTCAGCATGTAGCAGGAGGAGGGGCTGCATCCTCTGGTGTTTTAGAGGCCAGACAGGGACGTAAAGTGGCTGATGTGAGACTGTAACAAGTGAACATGACTGTGGCCGACTAGAAAGTATGTGGCTGATAGTGTACATGTCCCAATGAAAGCATTAAAAAGAAACTACCAGTGTTGACTAAAAACTCCCCAAACCCAAAACCCACATCTGAGGGCATGTCTGTGTATCCCCTAATATAAAAGATGAATCTATAAGCCTTGATTTTGTTTCACGGCCAAGGAACTCAGCTAGTTGATGACAAACTTTAGCAGTATTCGATTTATGAAATGTCCAGAATAGGTAAATGCATAGAGACAGAAAGCAGATTGGTGGCTGCCTATGATTAGGGGAGGGTTAAAGAATTAACTGCTAATAAGTATGAGGTTTATTTTTGGAGTGCTGAGAATGCTGTAAAATTGGATGATGGTGATTGTACAATTTAAATGCATGTATTGTATGGTATATGAATTATATCTCAAGCTGTTAAAAAAATCATACATGATACAACTCATCCAGGGATAACCACTTATAATATTTGGGTATAATCTTCTAGACTATTTTCTCTAGACTATCTTTACATATATGCATGGAGAAAAATGGAACCATTAAAGTCATGCATTTTCATTTAACATATCTAGAATTTCTTCTGTGTTAAGTACACAGCCATATCATTTTTAATGCCTGTGTGGTGTTCCTTATGGAAATAATAATTTGATTTAAAAAATCCCTTATTTTGAGCACTTGGTTTGTTTTGAGTTTTTTACTATTTTAAATAATATCATGATGAGCATCTTACACTCAGACCATTTTGCACCAAATTAAGGTGAATTTTTAAATGTGGATTTCATAAACAAATAACATGAACCTGGTCTTTGGTTTGGAAAACACATTTTAGTCTTCTTTATTCCCTATAGCCACTTACCCAGAGCTGAGTGTAATCAAACACTTCCTGATTTGAATGTGTGAAAAATTTGCCTTGACCTAATGCTGGTCACAGCTGAGTACTGCCCTGCTGGCAGACATTTCTGAGCGGAGTTTCTTAGGCAGTATTTTGTTGCTTAGTGTGAGCCTGTGCTAAAGCCCTGTCAGGACTGTGTGGGGCCTGCTGCCCAGGCTCAGTACTGTTGTGATGTGAACATTGCTTTTTAGCGTATTTAAGAAGAGAACATGGACCTTGGTCAGCCAGGATGACCCACCTGAGGTTGATGGTATGCTCACCCTGGCATTTTAGCAGTTGAGGATTTTCCCTGGATTTGCCTGGGTTTTCTTTCTCCGTAGAGATCATAGCAGCACTCTGGTATGACCCGGGCTGTTGGGGGCCACATGCCAAAGTAGTAATAACAGAAGTAGCAATAAATGTGCAGGGAACCCTTACTGTGGGCCAGGCATGGTGCTCAGCAATTAATGTTCGTCATTCCACTGAATCCTTAAAACAACCCCAGGAGGAAGGGGTACTATTCATATGGAGAAGCTAAGTGGCTTGTCCAAAGTCATTGTTGGTTACGACCCTAGGCTGGCTGTGACTCTTAATCACTGTACTGTGTTCCTCTTCACAAGTAAGACAGGAGCTAAATCTTTGAGGCATTGGATATATACCTGATTTACTTTGCCAGAGGCTTAGGAGAAAATCCTCTAGGCTTTAGCAACAGAGAGGCTTGGAAAACCATGCATAAGAGAGTGTGAGGTCTGGTTAAGTTTGTTCTCTAGGTCTGAAATCAGTGTGCTTAAAATGTCACAAATGAATGAGGGGATGTTGGAAGGAATTTCACCAGTTTCAGTATATTCTGGGCTCTTGGGAGTTTGGACCATGCCGAAATGATTGGGACATGTTTCGAAAAGATGACAGTAGAACTCTGAATGGTGATTAGTGTGCATGTCCTTGATGGGTTAGCAGTGTTTTTTTTTTTTTTTGTTGTTGTTGTTTTGTTATCATTAATCTACAATTACATGAAGAACATTATGTTTACTAGGCTCCCCCCTTCACCAAGTACCCACCCCCCCAACACACACACACCCCATTACAGTCACTATGATGGGTTAGCAGTTTTGTTGGAAAGAGTTAGGTTCGGTGTCACAGGGAAGCCGGACTGAGTAAAACCCAAGTCAAGAAAAGAAGCAAGCAGGTTTATGATGCTCTTTATCAGAGCAGGCCCGACTTAATGTCTGACCTAAGGCCCCAGTGTTCAGGGAGGGCTGCTTTTTATGTGGTTTGCAGGGGGTTTTAGGCAGGGCGATCCATGCTAACAAGCGCTGAATTACAGCTCAGTAGTTATGTTTTCTTACTGGTTGAAGACACCTGTAGTCATCGAACCCCTCCTCCTGCCAATGTCCTAACAGTTGGAGACACCTGTGGTCGTCAGATCCTTCCTCCTGCTAATGTCTAGCTTCCTGCCTAGCAGTTTGGGTTTCTTTAAGTCATTAAGAAATGGTAATGTGGTTGGTTGAAATGGGGATTTTTCTGCGGTGATTTATCAGATAGCATCGTAAACTGTTACCATCTTTGCCTTCCTTTGTGTGACCAATAATAATCCTGGGGCATCAAGACTAAAATATGGAGCCATCAGAGAGGTTGGGTATCATGCTTCTTACCCCCAAAGTTCTTCAGTTGCTTTTCGGGCAAAGCATGAAATGATTCTTCTCAAGTGATTTTATTTTATCTTTTTCTTTAGGATTTGGTCAACACTGGACTCAGCACTTTCTTTTTCTTTATTGCTTCGATTGTACTGGCTGCTTTAAATCACAAAACCGGAGCAGAAATTGCTGCCGTGGTAAGCTAATTCAGATGGCTAAAACACGGGCTGATTTGTACACTGTCTGTGACATGTTCTCCTCTATCTCCATGTGCCCTCCTCATTCTCCTTTACTTTTTTTTTTTTTTTTTGCTAATGATGTTACTGGGCCAGTGGAGGGCCTAATACCTTCAGTGCTGTGGTTCTCAAAGTGTGGTCCCTGGAATGACACCTCAGTATCACCCAGAAACTTGTTAGAAATGCCACTTTCAGGCTTCCCCAGAGCTACTGAATCAGAAATGTGTTTCAATGAGCCCATCAGGTAATTCTCATGCATGCATAAGTTTGAGACACAGCTTTAGTCTGTTTTCAACAGAGTCCTGACTGTCTGTTGTTTTAAGGGCCTTACCTGCCAGGGTGGGGATTCTTAGTGAAGAGGAACACAGTGATGACACCATTTAGCAGTCAGGTGACCTTTTGCTTCTTGAAGGTAGAATGCTATGAGGTAGGGAGATAATGAAGGCTTCTCTTCTCTATGCTCTGTAGTTCTGTATTGTCCTGTATTTATAAACATGTAGTGCTTTTGTAATGGGCAGGGTTAAAAGGTTTATAACAAATAGAAATGAGCTGCTTCCCCAGGCCTCACTCAGTAGATTCATCAGTTGTTATCAAATACTAAAAACTTCAAGGCTTCTCATCCTGGAGCTGCCCAGGTGAGAGGCAGTTGGACAGCAGGTGGGGGCTTGCTGTGGAATGTCAGGCCTCATGGCCTGATTTGGAGCTCACTCATGAGACCCTGCTTTTCTGTCTACATGGTATTTTATCTACATTGTATTTTCTTACCTGGGACTAGGGGCTATGAAGGTGCTATAAAAGAGGCACTTTTTCTATTAAAAAAAAAGATCTAAAATGCTTCAAAAGAAACCTTAGGTTATCTTCAGGTCAGACAGGACTGTATGTGGATCATATGACTTTGGACTTGCCCTTGGTCTGGCAGCTAAGCATTTAGTGGGGCTGGGCGTTAGGGGTGCAGTTGGAAGAGGCTGCGCACAGCTCAGGTCAGTGTAAGCTGCTGTAAGATAGCAGATGGATGACTGATGTGCCTGAGGGCTAACTGTGCCTTTGTCTTATAGATATTTGGCTTTTTGGCGACTGCCATGTATGCGGTGAACACTTTCCTGGCAGTGCAGAAATGGAGAGTCAGCATCCACCAGCAGAGCGCCAATGACTACATCCGAGCCCGCACAGAGTCCAGAGATGTGGACGGTCGCCCCGAGATCCAGCGCCTGGATACATGAGGACCTGCCAGAGTCTTCCTCCCTCTCACCCATCCTTTCAATCAAGTTCTTTCCGTCATTATGTCAGATTTTCATGTGATAAATTTGAATTTTGTCCTCTTTGGTAAAAGTTTATTTTGGGAAAGGGTTTTCAGAGAGGCCCTGTTGGCAGGTATTTGAGGCAGGGAGCCCCCCACAACTAGCTGTTCAGACAGAGGTGGGTGGGAGAGTCCTGATTCTCCAGCGTTTGTTTGTCACGGGAGCAGCCAGCCTCACTGGCCACCATGTCCACTTTAGGTCTTCAGTGTCCCTAGCACAGGCTTCACATCTGTTCTCAGCCACCCTGTCATCTGTGTTTGTGACAAGTTAAGACTTTGGATTAAATAGGAGCTGCCAGAAGAGGGGGGAAAAATAAAGGAATGAAAGGACAGGGTTGGAGCAGTCAGTCAGCAGCTGCTGCTGGGCAGCCCCAGAGTGCACTCAAGGCCAGCGTTTAGTCTCTGCCAGGATCCTCCCTACCCATCCTCCTCCATGACCTGGGCATCAAGACAGCAAGCCAGGCACGGAAAGCCATGTGCGACGCTGGGGTCTTGGCAGTGTGCTGGTGGAGCTTTTTGCTGGGTCTGGACTTTGTGGGGATGGGAAAAGCTGATGTCCTCTTGGGACAACTCCACAGACCTGCTAGTATGCGGGAAGGTCACTTTTCATTTCCTACCCTGCTAAGAAATCACTTAATTCTTCTTCAAATGAATCACTTCCCTGAATCCCAGATTTTCCTCTGGGAATATGGGGACCATCTTGTTTTTCAGTTTCCTACCTACCCATAATACCTTGAGGTTAAATTGCAGGTTTTCTGTAATTTTACCTTCTCAGGTAAATGCCAAGGAAGAAATACAGTCCATTCCATCAGCCAGAACACTTGCCTATGTGCTGGCTTCACAGACCACGGCGGGGGCACACTTGTAGTTTGGGGGTGTGTGCTAGTTTTCAAATGCCTGAGAAGAGTTCTAACAGGATTCCAAGCAGATGTGTCTAGACTTTGAAAACACTTGAATCTGCACCATGACGCGTCTTCTCCTGTTGTTTCAGAAGGCACGAACTGCAGTTTTTGTGCCTCAGGGTCATAACTATGAACATTGATCTTGGAAGGTGTTGGGAAAAATTCTAGTTATGTAAGGTTTTGAATTGATTCTTGATAAGTGAAGATTATTGTGGTGAACAAGTTAAATGAGCCCCGATGATGCTGTAGTTAATTTTTGTTTGTTTCGTGTTGGAGACTAATTGTATCTTTTATGGAAAAATTGTTATAAGTTGTCAGGTTTTCATTCTTTTGAACCGTTTTTAATGTTTACAGACTTCACTCTAGCTCTCCTGTTCCATGTTCCTCACCAAGGAAAAAAACGCTTAAATGCTGGTGGGAAGCTTTTGCAGTAAATGGAGAATCCCCAGGATGTTGTGCTAGCATCTTACAATCCCAGCGTTGGTCATGTACTGAGTGTGTAAGAAGACACAGACTGTGGCTGTGTGCTTGGGGTGGGAGGGCAGCATGTGAGAAAGCACCCTTCTGTGCCTGCATGGCATTGCATTCTGATTGCCCAGTGTGAAGGGGTTGGCCAGGTAATGCTGCCAGGCTGGGGATTCTGCAGGAAATGGTACTGTGCTCTCTGAAGAGTCAAGGTTAGGCGTCAGCTCCTGAACCAAACACCCGGTACAATCTAAGTTCTGCTCCAGTCCTTTTTGGGGCCGTGGCCCAGGCCACATGTGCAGGCTCTTTGTCTGCTTCAGACCCAGCTGGTCTGGTGGCAGCTCACCTCCCCACTGCTCCCACAGAGGGCAGCCAGGCCTAGTCTCAGCCTGGTGTGCTGCCCAGCGGGTCTGATAGCCCTCTTCCTACATGTGTTGTGAGGCAGTGCAAATCATGCTTCACATACTTTGAACCCAAACCTATTACATGTAAAGATTTTTGAGGTGATTATGACATCCAGATTTTATCTGTTCATTTTATGTATGTATTTTGCATTTGTTGAGTGTGTCTGCATAGTCAGGATTGGGCTTATCCCCCTCTGAGAGTTCCATTTAGAAGCAGGGACACAAAGACTTCGAGGCTCATTTAACTTGTTCACCTTGCATTAAATGGGGCCCTCTTGGAAGGACCACCCTGAACATTATCAGAAGTCTCCTGCTGGGAATCATGTTACTTGGCCTCAATAAAAAGCTGCCTTTGAAGTGAGATTGGAAAAAAAAAATACCACTCAGGCAGGACAGTTGCCCAAGTTTTCCCAAGTCGCTTCAATAAAACCAGTTTATCATGTGGTGAAAAGGAGTCTGTTGGCCTCCTGAGTGTGTGTTGTCAGTCGCAAGAAATGTTCTGAAGTCCACCGAAACTGGAAATGCTGACAGAGGATAAAAGTGATGACACCTTGTGCCAGAGGGACTTAGGAGTTAAGCTGTGTCTTTGCATTAGAATCTTGAATTATTTATGTCCGTGTAACTATTTAATATCCTTTGTGCCATGAGTCTCTCCCATGGTTTTTGTAAATATGTTTCTTTATATTTAATAAGCTCCCCTACAACCGGAAATGGCTAGGCCCACCCTAGCTGGCATGATGCAGAGTCCTACCTACCCATAGGTAGGTGTGGTGGCGAGAAGTCATGAAAGATATATGGTTGTCTAGGACGCCTGTAAAGACACCTGTGTTTTTCTTACATTGCCTCTGTGTGCAGACAAGAGAATCTAGATATGGGGGTCTTAACGGGACCTTTTGTTTTAGAAATGGAAGGAAGTGTATTTTTGCATTTAATAGTTCCGATTTGCACCATGTCAGTTTGGTTTAGGGCATTTTAAGTCTGAGGCAATCTTAGTGGTCCTCAATTTTCTGGTGGGATGATACTGGCTTTCACAGTTTGTGCCAAAGTTGAAGGGATCTCCAGTTGCTGTGTACATCTGAATTTGTTTCTGGAGACTGTATGGTTGAAACTCTCAAGCATTTGGTGGAACTTCTTTTGGTTTTAGATGGATACAAACACTGACATCTTCAGAGAAAGTTTACCTTGGCACAGATTTTGTTGATGTCATTTTTTTCTTCTCTGATTTTCCTTTATCCTCCCTTCACACTGCTGAAGGCATGGAGGGAAAAACCATTTCTGTACACACAGAGAGATTACAATAATGAAACCCGAAAGATGCTTGTTAGCCCTATATAAAGTCAGAGAAACACAAAGGCAGTTGCAGATGAAAATTTACTAAGAGAAGTGATTTAAAGTGAACTATCTTACTGTAGACTTTACTTCTGTGCGGCAACAGTGGTCATCCTGTAGAGATACCTTCGCCTATAAAAAGGTATGAACGTAGTGGCCTGCCCAGTCCCAATACGTGTGTCTTCCCTGGCAGCTTGAACTGAAGTGCCCACATGGGCAGAGCCCAGCCTGGCTTCAGGGAGGCTGGCAAGGACTCTGCCTAGCTGTGAGTGCTTGGCTCTGTGGGGTGGACAGCACCCCCAGCTCTGTGAACGCCATTAGCGTCCCCAGGTGGAAAGGCTCACGCCTGTGGGTAGGCATGAAGTATATGCAACCTCTATCCTGTGTTGGATGCTTCTGGCAAGAGCTTTGTGACTTAGTTTAAAACATTCCTACTTTAAAAATTTGCAGTTTCATTTGCCTTTCTTAGAAGCTTTCTAAGTCATTAAGACTTGGGCTCTTGAGAAGATGAGGCACTAACTCTTTTAAGTCTGCACAGGTATGGGAATTCTTGCTTGCAGTGAATGAGCCTGGAATGACCCCTGTATGTTTAATGCCTCATGTGTGGCCCAAGCTCATCTTTTCTTAGAGACACTCACATGCTGGTCAGGAAGAAACCCCTCACCTCTCCAAGTGTCTGAGAGGTGGGCCAAGTCTGGCTGGGCAGGATTTTTGTGGGTAGTTCTTAGAAGCTGTCCTCACAGATTAGAGTGTGGAGACAACATGTGGCTGATTCTAGAAATGATTCTGAAAGGCAGTAAGATTTAAGTGGTTCACGTTGTGCCATCCGTGTTCAAAATAAAGCAACCATGGAGAGAGTCCTCATCCCACTGCCTGACTCTCATTTTCTCCTTATCTTATTTGCAGGAAACACGACAACATTAAATTGGTGGCAAAAGACAAAAACATTTTCTAGGCTGGGGCTGCTGCTCATTGATTCTCTTGAGCAAAGAGTTGCCTCCTGCTCCAGGGACTGCCATTAGTTTCTGAGGTCTCCAGACACCTTTTTAATTCCTGGTGAAGTTTTCAGAACCCAGGAGTTCTCTCTCAACAGCACCCACTCCCAGGGTCAGTGAGGTGGGAGGCTGGTGAGGTGGGAGCAGGGGCAGGTCAAGGAGGTGAGAGGAGGAGGGAAGAGGAGGCCCATGACCCCCAGACTCCTTGGCCATGAGACTGCTTGTGACACTGGATGTGGTTACCAACTCCAGCAGTCTTGAAACAGTGTCCTTGGTTAACTGTCTTATTATCCCATTGTCTTTGGAAAAGTGAGGGCTTTGTTCTGGAATCAGCTTGAGAGCCAAGAGCTGAATGTTGGGACTGGTGTGCCTCACTGCTCCAGGAAGGCACTTGGTGTTGACCTCTGGAGCTTGCAGGTCTGGACCGGTGAATCAGATTCTGGTTTGGATGCCACCTTAGTAAGAACACTGCCTTGGGCTTTGTAAACTTCCCTGGCTCTTTATAAAATTGTGTGTTTCTTCTCTGCTCAGCAGACATTGTTGAGATCATAAGGTATTGTCTAAGAAAGTAATTTGAAATATTTGGACTTTTATGTTACTTTTCTTTAGAAACTGTGTCTAAAAGAATGTACCATCTATATCTTTTGGATCTAGAATTCCCTCCTGAAAGTGAATGTTCTGTTTGAGTTTTCATACCAGTAAAGGGCATTTATACAGTCTTAGGCTTGAAACAGAGGAGTGGGTCATGATATATTTTCCCTTCTTTGGTCTAGATTATGTTTTTAATACATTTAGATATAATTTCTCAGCCTTGAGGATTTCTTTTTCCTTTCTAGTTTTTCTCATTCCAGAAACATAACAGTAAAGCAAAAAGCTACCCACAAGCCCACTCAATTTGAATCAATGGCAATTTGCCTAGAATAAAGCTTAGATTATGGATCCTTGAATAGTATATCTTTTCCAACGGTTAGTTTGTTACACTTTTTTATGCCAAGACTTGCTATCTAGACACGTGGAGTGGTGTATTTCCTTTGGGATGCATTATACACAAAGGCCTGAGAGCCTTCATTAAGGGGTTAATAGCCGGCACTCTAGTGAGCTATGAGAACTCCCATGGTTCTAATTTAGAGTAGGGACTTGCCTCAAATTACCAGAATCAGTTTTGTTGATGGGATTAGGGCAAGTACCAGAGTTTCTTTTCATAATTGTGCCTAAGAGGAGAGAAGGTGTGACACAATTGATTCTGATAATGGTTTGTACAGATTCAGTAATAGTCTGAACCTATGAAATCTGAGCCCTTTTTGTGGGCTGAATGAGGAAGTGAGGAAATGAGGACCCGTGGTGACCATGCCAGGCAAGGCCAGGTCTGAGAGCTGGGTGCTTCCTGTTTTTTTTCCAGAATTGATTTTGCAGGTTTCAAGACTGTATTCCACTCTCTACAGAAGTGAGGAAGGCAGGTGTTCAGGGATGGACAGGAGAACTAGCTGGTCCAAGGGTTGGGGAAGGCGAGGGTAGAATGCCTGGATAACCCCCCAGTCTGGCCCAGCTCTGCAGAGGGGCCTCCTGCTTCCAACCTTCACTCCATCACCCATTTAAAACTGAGTTTTCAAATCCTCATGATGAAACTGATGTATGTGGATAAAACCAGTGCTTTTCATAACTTAATTTTGATGTGGTTCCCTCTAAGAGAATGTTAGGGATTGAAACTATTTGTATATGTTGAAATTTGTAGGGGTTCAGGAACCCATGGCAAAAACACAACTATTTATTACAGGTACGACTTTTTTTTCCCCCAAAAGTAGGTAATTGTCTTTGTATATTTTAAGACAAATAATAATCACTTCACCTTTGGTGCCTTCCGTGTGTCAGTCACATAAACACTCTGTCAATCATGGAATTGAAGAAAAGATGTACATTTAGTTAAACCAGATAACACTATTTTTGTAGCATGATTTTAGATTGTGTCCTTGTAATATTGCTTTCAGTGATGCTAGTTTTGAGGTTTGGCCATTTTCCCTTTAAACTTTGTTACGTATTAAAAAATAAGAAAAGGAAAAAAACCCTTGTTCTTCTGTCTGCTCTGCTGCTGCTTTCTCCCCAGCATCTCGTTTTCTGCTTAAACAATCTGAGAGTAAGAGTATATTTCTGTGAAATAATTATTAATCAGTATAATTGCATTTGGCATTTTTAACTACTTGTGCAGTTTGGAGAGCCACTGCTCACCTCAGATAGTAAGAGGAAAGTGCTTCCATATAAAAAGAACAGAGCATAACTTCAGTGCTATGACTTCCTGGCCTTCTTTGGTTCTAAAACGGTTCTCCAAGTGTCTGAGAGGTGGGCCAAGTCTGGCTGGGCAGGATTTTTGTGGGTAGTTCTTAGAAGCTGTCCTCACAGATTAGAGTGTGGAGACAACATGTGGCTGATTCTAGAAATGATTCTGAAATGCAGTAAGATTTAAGTGGTTCACGTTGTGCCATCCGTGTTCAAAATAAAGCAACCATGGAGAGAGTCCTCATCCCACTGCCTGACTCTCATTTTCTCCTTATCTTATTTGCAGGAAACACGACGACATTAAATTGGTGGCAAAAGACAAAAACATTTTCTAGGCTGAGGCTGCTGCTCATTGATTCTCTTGAGCAAAGAGTTGCCTCCTGCTCCAGGGACTGCCATTAGTTTCTGAGGTCTCCAGACACCTTTTGAATTCCTGGTGAAGTTTTCAGAACCCAGGACTTCTCTCTCAACAGCACCCACTCCCAGGGTCAGTGAGGTGGGAGGCTGGTGAGGTGGGAGCAGGGGCAGGTCAGGGAGGTGAGAGGAGGAGGGAAGAGGAGGCCCATGACCCCCAGACTCCTTGGCCATGAGACTGCTTGTGACACTGGATGTGGTTACCAACTCCAGCAGTCTTGAAACAGTGTCCTTGGTTAACTGTCTTATTATCCCATTGTCTTTGGAAAAGTGAGGGCTTTGTTCTGGAATCAGCTTGAGAGCCAAGAGCTGAATGTTGGGACTGGTGTGCCTCACTGCTCCAGGAAGGCACTTGGTGTTGACCTCTGGAGCTTGCAGGTCTGGACCGGTGAATCAGATTCTGGTTTGGATGCCACCTTAGTAAGAACACTGCCTTGGGCTTTGTAAACTTCCCTGGCTCTTTATAAAATTGTGTGTTTCTTCTCTGCTCAGCAGACATTGTTGAGATCATAAGGTATTGTCTAAGAAAGTAATTTGAAATATTTGGACTTTTATGTTACTTTTCTTTAGAAACTGTGTCTAAAAGAATGTACCATCAATATCTTTTGGATCTAGAATTCCCTCCTGAAAGTGAATGTTCTGTTTGAGTTTTCATACCAGTAAAGGGCATTTATACAGTCTTAGGCTTGAAACAGAGGAGTGGGTCATGATATATTTTCCCTTCTTTGGTCTAGATTATGTTTTTAATACATTTAGATATAATTTCTCAGCCTTGAGGATTTCTTTTTCCTTTCTAGTTTTTCTCATTCCAGAAACATAACAGTAAAGCAAAAAGCTACCCACAAGCCCACTGAATTTGAATCCATGGCAATTTGCCTAGAATAAAGCTTAGATTATGGATCCTTGAATAGTATATCTTTTCCAAAGGTTAGTTTGTTACACTTTTTTATGCCAAGACTTGCTATCTAGACACGTGGAGTGGTGTATTTCATTTGGGATGCATTATACACAAAGGCCTGAGAGCCTTCATTAAGGGGTTAATAGCCGGCACTCTAGTGAGCTATGAGAACTCCCATGGTTCTAATTTAGAGAGTAGGGACTTGCCTCAAATTACCAGAATCAGTTTTGTTGATGGGATTAGGGCAAGTACCAGAGTTTCTTTTCATAATTGTGCCTAAGAGGAGAGAAGGTGTGACACAATTGATTCTGATAATGGTTTGTACAGATTCAGTAATAGTCTGAACCTATGAAATCTGAGCCCTTTTTGTGGGCTGAATGAGGAAGTGAGGAAATGAGGACCCGTGGTGCCCATGCCAGGCAAGGCCAGGTCTGAGAGCTGGGTGCTTCCTGTTTTTTTCCAGAATTGATTTTGCAGGTTTCAAGACTGTATTCCACTCTCTACAGAAGTGAGGAAGGCAGGTGTTCAGGGATGGACAGGAGAACTAGCTGGTCCAAGGGTTGGGGAAGGCGAGGGTAGAATGCCTGGATAACCCCCCAGTCTGGCCCAGCTCTGCAGAGGGGCCTCCTGCTTCCAACCTTCACTCCATCACCCATTTAAAACTGAGTTTTCAAATCCTCATGATGAAACTGATGTATGTGGATAAAACCAGTGCTTTTCATAACTTAATTTTGATGTGGTTCCCTCTAAGAGAATGTTAGGGATTGAAACTATTTGTATATGTTGAAATTTGTAGGGGTTCAGGAACCCATGGCAAAAACACAACTATTTATTACAGGTACGACTCTTTTTTTCCCCCCAAAAGTAGGTAATTGTCTTTGTATATTTTAAGACAAATAATAATCACTTCACCTTTGGTGCCTTCCGTGTGTCAGTCACATAAACACTCTGTCAATCATGGAATTGAAGAAAAGATGTACATTTAGTTAAACCAGATAACACTATTTTTGTAGCATGATTTTAGATTGTGTCCTTGTAATATTGCTTTCAGTGATGCTAGTTTTGAGGTTTGGCCATTTTCCCTTTAAACTTTGTTACGTATTAAAAAATAAGAAAAGGAAAAAAACCCTTGTTCTTCTGTCTGCTCTGCTGCTGCTTTCTCCCCAGCATCTCGTTTTCTGCTTAAACAATCTGAGAGTAAGAGTATATTTCTGTGAAATAATTATTAATCAGTATAATTGCATTTGGCATTTTTAACTACTTGTGCAGTTTGGAGAGCCACTGCTCACCTCAGATAGTAAGAGGAAAGTGCTTCCATATAAAAAGAACAGAGCATAACTTCAGTGCTATGACTTCCTGGCCTTCTTTGGTTCTAAAACGGTCCAGAGCCCCACTGTTGCAGAACGTGATCCAGAGGGTGTTCTCTGGCTGGGGGCTCTTCCAGGACCAGCCCAGGCCACCCCCCAGCTCTGCTGCCTGGCTTCCCTGCTTGCGGGAGACAGTCTTCCGGGAGGCCTCTGGCTGGTCTCTGGTTCACCTCCCACCTGACCTCAGATTGGTTTGTGGATGCCCTGGGTGGGTTCTGTGACCCTTTCTGGTTTCCAGCATGAACAGAATTGATCCCCTGCTGTGAGGAGCTTGATGAGTCAAGACACAGCACTCCAGCTGCTCCCTGTGCTTTCCTACCCCCGTAGGCCATGAGTTATGTCTACTCAAGAGTGATCTTGAGTAAACTAGCTGAGCCATTGCAAAATGAATGAATGGATTTATTAACACATAAAACTAGCACCTTTTTTTGTCCTTTGAAGGGTCAGAATATGTAATTATTTTCTTAAAAGGAAGTCAGATGGCTAATAACTCCAATATGATTTCTAATTGGTATTTGGCCCAGTGGGACTTTTGAGGGCAATGTTAATAACTATTACATTCTGCTGCTTAAATGTGTTACCTTAAACAGTTTAATCACAGCCATGGGGCATTCCGAGGTGATGCCCATTGGGCAAAAACTTTGTTTATGCTGTTAGATGGTCACAATTCCCATCCTGGCTTCTTGAACCAACACGTATGTCTTTGGGTGGGCGCTGCTTGGCTCCGACTGGCTTTCGGCTCTGACTCCATCCCTTTGGAGTGGTTTTGGGGCCCCAAAGCCTTTGCTTTTGTTGGTTTGTCCCTGAAAGTAGACAAAGCCTTGCATTACCCATGATTTTTCCCTTTCTTTTGAAGGACCAATTTTTCATGGTACTTGTCTGGATTGTTTTCATAGTGTTCAAATATGTATTTTTGTATGTAGAGGGAAATAATTTTCTCAACATTAATCACTAATATTATATTAAACTGTCAAGGAATTCTTGTCTAATAAACGGATGTATAAAAATGGCATCATCTCTGTGTGCTCCACCTTACCTCCCCACCCCTTCAAATGCTGTGAACCCAGTTGCTGAAACAGTCCAGGTTGAGGCCTCTGTAGTATAGGTATGTGGGTGACGGGGCTGGCTTCCCTCTGGCTAGTAAGGTGGAGCAGAAATTCCCACCATATGCCCCTCGTGGCCTCCACACTTTCAACTTCTATGCTTATTTTCAGGACATGCTGTATGTGAAAGTCGGGCAGAGGCCTCATCCTTCCCACCGACTTGGGCCAAGTCCTGACCAAGGATCCTCCCAGGGATGCTATTCAAAGTGAGAGGGCCCTGGGCCTCCTCAGAGAGGCTGTGGTGACCCAGGCAAGTTACCAAACCTTTTATCCGCTTCCTGGACTGTGAAACAGGATTGCGTAAGGAGTCAGGAAGAGCACACACGCCAGACACTGGCAGGCTGCCGGGCAGGGAGCAAGGGCAGGTGTGTGGTTCCTGCCATGTGGGGCTGTCAGGATTCCCATATGCATGATGTGCATGACCCTGGAAAGCATAGCTCCAGGTGGGGTAGAGCCTTTCAGACACATACTCCAAGCAGGTAGTCAGTCTGGTTTAATCCACTGTGGCTTTTTTCAGGGTAGGAGATTCACATGCAAGAGAAAAGTAAAAGGTTACAAATGCCCAAAACGTGGGTCCAGAACTTTGGCTCATTCATGAGGCCTCAAGGGATACAAGATAAGCCATTTAAGAGCTGGATTTGTATAAAAAGAATTATACAAAGTTATAGAATCCTAGTGAAGATTACACAGCATAGGTCCTTGGGTGAACAGAAGGCACATCTTGCCTCGTGGTCAGACCTACTGTGGTGTCGAGAAGCACATTGGCCTGAGCTCCTGAGAACCTCACCTACTGGTGGCCCCCAGGAGAAAGGTTTGGCTGGGCCTGCCCAGCTCCCCCAGACAGTCGGTTAATTAATCGTTTGGTACCCTTGATCTTTTGGACCTGGTAAGCTAGTCTGCGAGCTTTTCTTTGAAACTGTCTTGGACCCAGAATAGTCATGTCTCCCGAAGATGTGGTCTCCAAGGGTGTGAGGTGTCAGTTATGGGCACCAAGCGCCCCCACTCCTAGATGATTGGCAAAGGTCAGTTTTCTTTCTGCTTCATGAATGGAGAGGGTACTGGTGCTCCTGGAACAAAATGATCTCAGAAGGCTCATTCTTGACGAAGTACTTGGCATGAGCAGGGGCACTAGATGCAGACAAAAAGCACCGGACCTGGTGGGCTGGCCCTGCAGTGGTTTCTGTCTTACTTATCCCCCTGTCCTCCTGCCTTGCAGCGTGAAATGCTTCCTGTGATAGGGTAAGGAGGCTCTTATCTGCTTTGTCCCCTTGTGCTTATTTTTGGCAGAGAGGTTAAAGAGTTTTAGGTTTGTGGGACAGAAAGGAGAAGTAGCAGGATATTCATGGTACCCTCACATGCAGAGTGGTTAGAGCTCAGCCGGGGGGGCGGGGTGGCGAGGGGCATCCTGTATGCTGGGCTCAGAAATGTCACTCTGGGGCTCTGAGGAGACCAGCTCCATCAGCAGTCCTGCTGCTTGGAAGTCACAGCCGCTCTTCCCACACACACAGTCCCTGGGCCACGTTCCAGCCAGCCTGGTCAGAAGGTACAGGAGTGAAGGCCCCTGTGGCTCAGGTTGCCAGGGCAGGCCAGGCCTTCAGTCTGAGTCGGAGTCAGAATTCTCTTCTGAAAGAAAAGGAAAGAGGATGGTTGGCAGTTTCTAGGCAAGCGGTGCCTGGGAGCTGTTTCTGAGAGGCACAGCATGGCTGTTGGCCGGAGCTGACTGCTACTGGTGGTGTCTGCTTGGTGTGAAGTCTGGCCCTGCTTGGTGTGAAGGCCTGGGACCCTCTGTAGGCAGCTGCTGTCATGTCCAGAGTGTGACCAAATGGAGGTGAGGAGCCCAACTGCCTCTCCCTTGGGGTTCTAGGCCTTCCTGTCTCCCGGGGCCGTTCTTACATGGGGCTGTCAGGGTTGTACTACTGGCACCCCAAATTCATCCTGCAATTCAGCAGGATAAGGTGCGAACAGCTATATATTTGTCCAGTAAACTAGACTGGAAAATCAGGAAGCCTCTCTTTAGCCATTTTATAGTTTCAATCCCCCACTGCCCAAATCGTTACTTTATATTGTGGTCAGCAACAATTTTACAACATTAAGGGCCTGTCTATGAGATGTCACTCAAGGGTTCCTAAAAGTGGCAAAAATTATTCTGTAGAGCCTTCTGGAATCCTCCCACCCCAGAAAGAAAAAGCACTCAAGTCATTAACCCTCCTGCCCAAGTCCCAGTGCCAACTGCTACTTTCAGGGAGGGAATATCCCCTCCTGGCTGAGGCCCATCCCTTTGAATCCTCCTTGGTCCTCATACTGTTGCAGGCTCATAGGTGAGCTTAGAGAACCTCCATAAACCTGGGTATTAGCTGCAGATGGGATGGGATGAGATGAGCATCATCCATTTTTAGCATTGGGACAGTCTGCTGGTTCATTAACCTAAACCGCTGGGTCCTATTTGGGAGCAGCAGGTGCTCAGTGGGGAGCCGAGTTCCAAGGCAGGGCCTGCAGGCACGGTTGTCTACCTCTCCAGCCTTGTTACTGCTGATCCTCAGGTTAACCTGGATGAGAGCACTTGCTCTATACTGTTGTCGTCCACCCTCCACCTGCCCCTTTTCTTCCGCCTGCCTCCTCCTACATACCCATCAAAACCCACCTCCGAGGTCACCATCACAGCCTCCTGGCTGGCTCATAGGGTGGGCCTCCCTCAGGTCTTTTATCCCGACATCTGTTAGGTTCAGTTTTGCTGTTAGGGTTGACATCTACTCTGGCTCCTCCTGCCCCACTACATGCTCTACATGTACATCACCACTCTGTTTCTGGGTCTAACTCCTGTCTGGGCTGAACTCCCTGAGGGCTGGTAGTCTGGCCCTGTCCATCTGCAACACCCCTAGGATGCAGCACATAGCAGCTTCAGCAGGTGTTTGGGTCAACATGCTGGTACAAGGGCCCAGGAGGCATCAGGGAACACCAGGCTGGGGTGTTTGGTGCTGAACCAAACAGATAACTAAATTATTCAGTTGCAAAGAGCTGACATCTTTCTATTTAAAACTTAGCTGGGGATATGGAGGGGGGAGGTCAGTAAATGGCCTGTAGGCCACAGAGCCATGGAGCTGGGTACTCCATCCCAGGTCAGCACCTGGCTCCCTGGCATTTCTGTGCTGGAACCTCCACCTGCTTTGCAGCTCCTGCCCGTCCGAGCAGGGGCTGCCTCTGGTGGCCTCCCTGGGCAGAAGGCCCCCTGGGCTGTGGCTGAGGAAGGCCTGAGGGAGATTACAAGCTCCAAATCAGCTGTGGTGCCTCCTGATGCACCTTTGCAGGGCCCCCACCACATGCCCAGTCCTGTGTGGAACACAAGCACCCACGGAGGTCACATGTAGCTATGGCTGTGGTGTTAGGGATGGAAAACCAGTCATTCAAATTGCAGTGTGTGTTTTTCTATTTTAATTAGGCAGTCACCACAGCCATTCTGAGCTGAAGAATGGCTTGAGGGGCCAAAATGTCTGTTGCACTTCCCTTAGATATAAAAAGCAATACGGGCCTGGGTGCTGTGGATAGGGACGAGAGCTTGCTTTCTTGGCTTTTAAGCCATGGACAGGTGAGACTGGGTGGGAGGCCCAGATTCGGGGCAGGTGGCCACTCTGCAGCCCGTGGACAGCGCCCAGGGAGTTGATGGGAAGTGACTGGCTGCCCTGGGGGCTCATCAGGGAAGGTCTCACCAAGGAGGTGTGGGACACACCTTCAGCTTGCCCTTTGTGGGAAGGCTGAGGCCATGGGGGGCCCTGTGGTCCCTAAGGGGACCAGGACCAGCTTTATGACCAATGCTGCGTGAAGGGATATGAGAACCAGGCTGCGAAAATACTTCCTGCCCACGGGAGAGACAAAATGCTTCTCCCTCCAGCCTCAAACTAGCCAAGTGTTCCCAAGGAAGAGCAGCCACAATCCTGGGGTGAGAAGTTCAGTTTCCAGGTGAAAACCCACAAGGTGCCCACCCACCTTCTGCCTTGTCAGCTGTGGTCTCGTCTGCGGAGTCCCCTTGTTTGAGGAATTTGGCCACGTTGTTAAAGATCAGGTAGAAGTCAATTGCAAACACGATAGTGGCTAAGAAGCCAAACACCTGTGGGATGCAGGGGACAGGGTGGATGGGGTACATCAGCAGGAGCTAGAAGGCCCTGGTCCAGGAGCCTGGGAATGGGGAGGGCTGTCTGAGAAGCTGCTGCCTGGCCTCATAGGCCATTTTTGTCTGCTTGGGTAAGCAGCTGGGATTGGCAAGAACAGACCCCTCCCATTAATGACAAGTAGGAAAACAAGCTGTTTTGGCAACTGGCCTTTCAACACTTGGGGAAGAGAAAATCTCCAATTAAGAGGACTTTGGGATCTCAGATCCATGCGAAAGCCTAGGAGGCCTACGCAGGGTGAGAATGTACCCCAGCTGCTAAGTGGGTGTCCTGAGGAGGATGTGGGGCTTCAGGAGAGATGGGGTGAATTTGGGGTACCACTGGATGGGCACTTACCCCAGCTGCTTTGGAAGGCCCATCTGAGTATTTGGCGACAGCTGTGATAGAGATGGCAAAGTAGATGAGGGCTGCTGTGACACAGCGTAGGAAGTCCTGGGGAGAGAGGTCACACTGCTGTGAGCATGGAAGAGGCCAATGGGAGCTGAAGCAAAGAAGAGGGGCTCCAGAGGTCACCATGGCAGGCACTGGGCTGGAATCCCACTGTTCCCAGAGAAAGATGGGCCTGGCATGCTGGACATACTCCCAGTCCCCCATGGTACTCCCATCCTGTCCTGGAACCACCTGCACTCCCTGGTCCTTCCAGCCCCACTCCTACCCCTGCCCAGTGGACAAGATATACACCAGGCTGCAGCTCACCCAATGGCACTTGCTCTGTATACTTACGCAGATTTCCCCATTCGGTGGGGAGGAGGAAGTTGGAAACCTTGTCACTTGCTCCCTTCTGGCTCTCCAATGGGGAGATCTGCCCCTGGGCCTTGCTTTGCCACATACTTTTGGCAGATCCATTTATGTATCGTGGTTTCTCCTTACCTGTCTCTAAATTGGGGACACAGGTGCAGCCCCATCAGGAAGAATTCTAGATATGAAGAGACGAGGGTTCAAGTGCAGCCTTTGCTGTCCCTTCTCTTTGACCCATTTCATACAGCAAAGCCTGAGGCGGTGCTCTGGGCCCTCCCAGGTGATAAAACAAGTTGCCTTCTGAGGCGGTGCTCTGGGCCCTCCCAGGTGATAAAACAAGTTGCCAGAAGGCTGAGGTCCGGGCAGGCACTGCAAGTCCTCAGTTAACCTGCCCTACCCATATGGAAATGGACTGAATTCCTGCAACTGAGGCTCATTCCTGCCGGCGCAGTTGTGAGCACCAGCGCCACCTGGTGGCCAGGGGTGAGGATGCAGCTTGGGGGTCCCTGCCTCACAGAGGGACACTGAAGGGCTGGGAGGTCCCACAACCTGCTCTAGGTCACACAGCTGCTGAGCACTGGGGCCTGGATCATCTGAAGCCAGGTCCACCTGCCTGGTTCCAACCAACTGCAAACAGCCCCTCATGGGTGTTGAAGAAAGGGTGAGGGATGAGTGCATGACGCAGGTGATGGCCAGCCAATTCCTTGCTCCTGGGACCCAGCCCTCACCATCATGGGCCAGCATAAGCCCTGCCACTTGTCGTTCAGCTGCATGGCATCAGCAAAGAGGAAGTAGAGGGCCAGCAGGAACTCCAGCAGAGGCGCCGTGAGGAAGGCAGATGCTGAAGACGCCACATAGCAGACAAAAGTGATGAACGAGAGACCCTGGAGGTGAGGGAGGGAGAAGTCAGAGCCTCTGAGCCAGGTCTTGCAGGAATAGAGGAAGCTCCAGCAGGGGAGGCAACCTGTCCACAGTCCCCCAGCTCCTGTCATGAGCTCCAGGCCCAAACCACTACCAGTAGTAGTAGCACTTTTGTGCTAGGATCCAGTCAGGGGCTCCAGTCTCCCACATGTGTCCAGTCCCCCAGGAGGCCACCTCCTGCGGCTGCTCACCACCTCCATCCCAACCCCAACAAGCTCTATGGCAGAATATACCCAACTCAGATGATGCCCAACTGGGGCAAATCAAACCTAAGCAGTGTCAAAGGCAGTCCAATAAGCAGGAACCAGTTTTTAAAAATTACACCCAACACCTAAGATTGGTGCTTTTCACCGAATGAAGTTTCACCTGAAAACAATACACAAACCTTGAACTTTAATGCTATGCATGCTCAAGTGTTCAGAGTGATATGTACTAACTTATGCAATTTGCATAAAAAAATGGATTGATGGCTAAGTTATGTGATAAAGCATTGATGGCTAAGTTGTGTGATAAAGCAAAATACAGCAATGTGTTAACTGTGCAGTCTGGGTGGTGGGTATATGGGTGGCAACAGTATTAACTCTTTTGGCTTTTCCACATATTTGCAAATTTTCTTAAAAAAAGAACATCCAGGAGAGGGACTGTTGACACTGATACTTCCTTGCTGTGTCATTCACCCTGAGGACCTGTAAAAACTGAAATGTTCTCCGTGGCTCTGCTCATGCACTATGGCTGAGAACGGATGCCAAGGTACCCAGTTAGTTCCAGGGACTGTTCACTATGCCCATGTCTGCTGAGGCTTTTGGGACCTCCTTGCATCCTCACAAACACCACCCATGCACCAGGTGCTGCTCACAGCCCACTTTTCAGATGAGAAGTCCGGGGTTTAGAGAGGTGAAGTGATTTTTTCAGTATCATACAGCTAATAAAAGGGCACCAGCATTTGAACCCAGGGTTGGTTGAGTTGGAGTTCTTAAGCAACCCTATCTGATGCGTGCTGGCTTTTATCTGTCCTGGTTTGTCACTATGGCTGAGTTTGAGCGTGTCCACAGCTGAGTAGCTCAGTGGGCCCCAGGGGCCCCAAAAGTACACCCAGATGCCCCACAGGAAGCACTGTGGCTGCTTCAGGCAAATGAGCTGCAGAGATCCCAGGGAATCCCCAGGGTACCCACATCTGCCTTGAACATGACCAGGAAGGTAGCTGAGCCCAACACAAACAGACGTGAAACTAAGACAGAGAGAGGGGCTGAGTGGCTGCAGGACTTCCCTGGAAGACAAGGCCATGGGACCCTGACCCAGCCTTGACCACAGCTCCTGTTGTATTTCCTCTAAGGGCTGATCTAGTGTCCCTCCCCTTCTGTTCCCCTATACCCAAAGCCCGATTCTGGGGATCCTCCTCTTGATTCCTGTTCCTCATTCCCTGATTCCTGGGGGCCACTTCCTCCCTCTTCCTGTCCATGTCAGCCTTTCCACTTGCTTGGGTCTGGGGGCAACCGGAGGTGACCAGAGGGAGGCAGGAGGGGCCTAGAGTAGCTGCCCTGGTATCTTCAGTGCCCACCCCTCACCCTTCCTTCCTCCTGTCTTCCTCCTCCTAGAATTGAATTCCTGACACCCAGCTACACTCCTCCCTTATGCTCTGGCCAGCAGCCCTCCACCCATGAGGTAGGTCTGAGTGGGTGGGGTTAGGGCCCCCTCAGTAAACAATGGATTCAAGGCTTCTGGCAAAAGTGGCTCCTATCAGTCTCCAGGGTGGAACTGGGGTGGCCAACCAGGTGATTCCTGGAGTGTGGGCTGTGTGTCCTGGGCCCGGGCGCCTCACTTGGGAGTCAGGCAGGTGCCGGGCTAGTGACGTCTGGGCTGACCCCAGGGGCAGAAAAGGTGTTAGGACTGCCTCCTGTCATCTGCCCTGGGCAGTACAAACGAGAGGTCTGGGACAGAATCCTCCTTTCTGATTCCAGCCCCAAGTCCTTGCTGTCACCCTCTACTGCCCCACCTATCAAATCCCCTGGGTGCTCGAGCCTCGGCTTTTTTGTCTGCTAAGTGGGCATTATGACAGCGAATGTCAAGCTGCTGGGGATCTCAGTAACGAGTGCTCTTCCCTCCTCCCGCTTCCCCTCTACCCAGCCTCGTCGGCCCTTCCCTTCACGGAGACCATGCACCAACCCCCACGCCCAAAGGCAGGCAGTGCGGGAGTTCTCAGAGTGTCGGGGAAGACAAAGGGCGCTGGGCCGGGGTGGGGGTTGCAGGAAAGAGGAAGGAGCTCGGTGGGGCGGGGCGGCTGGATCCCCGCGAGGGAGGGAGGAGGGGGATGAAGTCACCCGCTGGGCTCCCGCCCCCAGCAGCCGGGGATGGCTGTTGCGGGAGCGGGAGGGAGGGGGTGGCGTCTGCCTGCGCGCCCCCACAGTGCGACCCGGGCCTCCCGCACTCTGGCAGATCCCCCTACACTCTCCTCTGTCCCCCTTCCTCCCGGCGGGCCGGACTCCACTCGGCCTCCAATCTGCAGCTCGAGGCCTGACCGGAGCTCCCTGCGCCCAGGAAAGCGCGTCGAGCCGGCCCGGTGTCGTGGAGGACCGAGCGGGAAGATTCCTGCCGGGGCCCAGCCGGGGGTGGCGGGAGGGCCAGAGCAGCGGAGCGCCCGCGAGGGAGGCCCGAACCGGGGCCCAGAGGGGCGGAGGCGCCCGAGGTCACACAGCGCCCGGCTAGGCTTCCAGCTCCGCGCCCCGCCTCGCCTCCGACTGGCGCGCGGAGCCCGTCGAAACGCGGGGAAATCTGCCCAACTTCGCCCAACTGCGCGCGGCTCGGCGAGAGGTCGGCCGAGCGGGGCGTTCAGACGGCGGCCGCCGCCCCCGGGGCCCCACTCCGGCCCCACGGCCTGGCGGCGGGAGGGGGCCCGGCCGGGCCGGGGTCGGAGCCGGGGCCGCCCGCGCCGCACTCACCGACTCCGCCAGCAGGAGGCGGCCTTTGAGCGAGCAGAGGAAGGCGCGCGCCGGCAGGAGGGCGCGGAGCCCGGGGACGGCCGCGCCGGGCCGGGGGCGGCCGGCGGGCTCGGGGTCCGGGTCCGGGTCTGGGGGCCACATGCCGGCGGCGGTAGGGGCCGAGAATCGGCCTCGCTCCCTCTCACCCCGCGCCCGGGAGGGAAGCGGAAACCCAGACCGCACGGAAGGAGAAAAAGGCCAGACTGCCTGGGCGCGGGGCGCATCCCCCGCCGCCCCGCCCCGCCCCGCCCCTCTCCGCCTCCCCGCCCTCTTGCCCCCTGCCTCCCTCTTCCCCTGCCACCCGCCTCCCCTCTTCCGCCCTCCTTCCTCCTCCGCTCGGGGCCCTCGGACCCGGCCTCCCGGCCCGCGCAGGCCTGAGGCCGCCTTAGACCCCCGCCCCCTCGCCCGTGGCCTGGCGGCTCGAGACCCTCTTACTGACGCCCCGGAACACCCAGGCAGAGCTGCCCCCCACAGCTTCTTTCCCGGGAGGGTTGTCTGCGTCTGCTGTCTACCGTCTAGCTTCCTACCCATGTGCGGGGTCGGGATCCAGGAATCCTGGCGTCCAAACAGCAAGACCCCTCTGCTGTCCTCCTGGGCGTCGACGGCGCTGTGAGCTCCCCACCCGATTACCCCACTCTCTCTCCTGGCCACTCCGCCCATCCTTGGCCAGCCCAGCCTCGGGCTTCTTTGTTGGAGGTCCCAGACGTGCTTCCCGATCCCCACCTCCCATTTATCCTGGGAGGACTCCCAGAGCTACACTTCAGAGGCCCAGCCCCTGCATAACACACACACATCTCAGGGTGTCTGGAGTCCAGTGACCCAGCCCCAGCCCGATGACGTTCTCACTGAGCCTGGGCCTCTGGGAGGGGCATTGCTTTCCATCCTTCTACCCCAGGAGCCAGGGGCCCTGGGAGTTGTCCTGTTCTCCCTCACCTCATTGATGCATCACCAAGGCCAGCACATCTTCACCTGATAAAGCTTTCTTTGATCTCTTCCACTTCTTGTCCACTTCTCATCACCACTAAGGCCACTAGATGCCACATCGCTCCTGTTTCCTCCTTGGACTGTTGTGAGGGTGTCTTTAAGAGGCCTCTCTGCTTCCTCTCTTGGCAGCCAGAAGGATGCTTAACTCCTCAATCACGGTCACCTCTGTTCACCTCAACCCCAAACCCCTGGGAGCTTCCCATCTTGCTCAGGGTATAGAAAGAAAAACATAACCCCTTGCTACCCTTTCCTCTCTCTCTGTCACCCATAGATCTCAGTTTCTTGAACAAATCATGGTGCTTCCTACCACTGGGCCTTTGTACATGATGACCCTCTACCTGGAACGCTCTTCTTCACCTTGTTATCTGATGAACTCCTTTTTATTCTGGGATCATACTGCAGTGTCACTTCCTCACAGAAGACGTCACTGACATCTCCAGCTAGGTAACTTATTTACTCATTTATTTATTCGTTCAACAGCAGTGCTAGAAGCCCAGGATGCAGCGTAGTCTCAGCTTATTTTGGGGGAGTGGGTAAACACTGAAAGTGTCCAGAGAATCCTGAATGATTCCTGGTGATAGATGCCTGGTTGGTTCAGAGAGCACCATGCAGCCTGTGTAGAAGAAAGGACTGAGTTGAGTGCCAGGGGAGCAGACAGATTGTGGAGGACCAGGGCCTAATGTTTGGATTTTACTCCACATTCTCTGGGACAGGCCAGGTGAAGGGTAGAATAGAGGACAACCTGGTTCTGGTCTGTGTTATTTAAAACATGGCTCAAAACTCTAACTTAATAATAAGAAGAAAACAACCCAACTTTAAAAATAGGCCTAAGATTTGAGCAATTTATCAAAGATGTATTAATGTCCAATAAGCACATGAAAAGATGTTCAACATTACTGGACATCTAGGAATGTGAATTAGAGCCAAGTGAGATACTACTATATACCTATTAAAATGGCTTCATGAAAGGGGATGCTACTATTGAGATGTTGGTGAAGATATGGAGCAACTGGAACTCAACGTAAGGTGCTGATGGGGTGGAAATTGTTACTATTACTTTGGAAGAGAGTTTGGCCGGTTCTTAAAAAGCGAAACAGGGGCCTTTCTTGTGACCCAGCCATTTTACTCATAGGTATTTACCCAAGAGAGGTGGAAGCACATGTCTGTAGAAAGGCTTGTACATGAATGTTTTCAGTAGCTCAAACTGGAAACCACTGGTGGTTTATAACAGGTGAGGGGAAAAATTAATTGGGACATCCATACAATGGATTACTTCTCAGCAATAAAGAGGAGTAAATGATTGACAGACACAACAATATGGATGCATTTTGCAGATATTATGTTGAAGGAATGAAGTCATACTCAGAGGATACATACTGTGTGATTCCTTTTTTATAAGATTCTAGAACAGATGAGACAGCTATGGTGACAGAAACCAGATCAGTGATTACCAGGGGTGTGGACCGGAGGACTCTTTCTGGGGGACTGAAAGTGTTATTTTGACTAGGGTTGTGATTACCCAGGAAGATATAATTGTCAAAACACATCAAACCATACACTTACATTGGGTACATTTTATTTCATGTAGTTTGTATCTCAGTTTACTGAAATGGTACTGAGAACAATGAAAATAAGGTGATTGATGAGAGTGGCTAAGAGGGCCCATGGAGAGGGCAGAAGTGAGGGGGTGCCCTTGCCAGGAGGTGCCTGGATACTCATGACCACTGTCTGTCCCACCCCAGGCTGTGAGCTCTCCCTGGGGCCTGTCATGTGTGCTGTGGAGTGAAGGAGGGTGGCTCTATTCCTTTTACATTCCTTGTGTAAAGAATATTTTGTTTCCCTCCATTTGTGTATTTGTTTTATTCTTTGGGTTATAATTAAATACTATTGTGCTTAATTTTGTTGGTTAAATTGTTCCATTTTTGGCCTTTAGGCACTTTTTCAGGTGGGCTCCTGGTGTTCCTAACATGCCCTATCATTTTTTTTTTTTTTGTCTCTTTCCTTATTTTCTAATGCTATAAGATGTTTCAGGTTCATTTTGTAGTCTCCCTATTCCAGCCCTAGAATCAGCAGTTCCTCCAAGAAGCTCTGGTTCTTTTTCTTGTAGAATGGCATTTAGAAACCAGTTTCTCTGGGCAGTTTTAATTTGCATTTCTCTAGCTATGAGTGGATCAAACTTAAAAAAAAATGTGTAAGAGCCATTTGCATTTCCTTTTCTGAGAACTGACTTTTCATATCCTTTGTGTATTTTTCTATAAGTTGTTGGTTTTTAAAAATTGATACATAGGAATGTGTAAATTCAGGAAACTAGCCCTTTCCTGAAATACGAGTTAGGAATAGTTTTTCCTGGTTTGTCGTTTGTCTTTTACTTTGTGTTTTCGCCATACAGGTTTTTTCTTTTTGAACCTGTTTTCTCCTTTAATCTGTAAATGTGAACAACAAATAGTTTCCTAACACCCACCATCCTTGTATTTGTGGGATGTGCCTCTCTTTGTTATGTGTTTTGCTCTTTTGATAAACCTCTGGATTCATTTTGCTGTCTTTTATTTGGGGTTTTTGCCTTCATTTTTATAAATAGAGTTGACATCTAGTTTATATTTCGGGGTTTTTTTCTGTGTGTGTGTTATCCTTTAAATCTTTCTTGTTTCATTGTTTCATTGTTTTAAATGAAGTCATTTAAAGCTATAACTTGCTTCTGGTGACCACTTTGGACACATCCCAAAAATAGTGCTCCAGTTTTTATCTATTTCTAATTAGCTTGTAATTTCAGTTTTAATTCCCTCTTTAACCCAAGAATAATTTAAAAGGATGTTTAAAAACTTTTTAATTGGTTAAATCTTTAGCTACACTTTTTGTAGTTAGTTTCTAATTTTATTATTTATTTTATTCAGAGAATAGATCTCTATGTTCTGCATTTTGAAGCTGTTGGATTTTCTTTTTGTCCTGATAGTCAACTTTTGTAATGTCTCCTGTTTGTTTAAAAAGACAATATTCCCTCTTAGTTGGGTACAGAGTTTGTCTATTATATATCTTATTAATTATGTAATTTAAGCACTTTGTATACTTACCCTTTTTTTCCATGTATTGACTTATTAAAGTGGGTATATTAAAACTACTCATTAAGGCTTTAGATCATTTTTCTGTCCTTTAATTTCTAGTAGCTTTTTTTATTTTCCTGATGCTATGGTATTAGATGAACAATACCTAACATATATTTTGTGCAGTAGAATGTAGCAGTTAAGAGTATAAGCTCTGGTTTTAAACTCTGATTCTATTACTTTCTTAACTTCTATGTCCTCAGCATCCCCATCCACAAAATGGGGATAAGAAGTCATATGATTTTTATAAGGATTAAATGAGTCATATATATAAACATTTTAGAACAGTGCCTGGTGTGTATGTTTTTATGAACTGTTATTTTAATAAAGCATTTATTTTTCCTAGTGAATCTATTAGCTTTGAATTATATTTCACTTAATAGTAATTTTGCCACCCTTACTTTCTTATTGTTAGCATTTATCTGGCATATCTTGTTTATGCTTTTCTTATATAAGTTTAATGCTATAAATATCTCTAAGTGCTACTTTAGTTTCATCTCACAAATTTTGATATGTTGTGTTTTCATTTCTGTTCACTGCAAAATATTTTCTAATTTCTGTTTGAGACTTTATCTTTGACCCAGATTATTTGGCAATATATTGTTTAATCTCTAAACATTTGGAGATTTTTCCAGTTATCTTACTATTATTAATTTCCAGTTTAATTCCATTATTGTCAAGGAACATAGTTTGTATACTTTCAATTTTTTAAAATTTATTGAGGTTTGTTTTATGATTCAAGATAAGGTTCATCTTAGTAAATGCTCTTTTACACTTAAAAAGAAAGTGTATTTGTTGAGTGAAGTGTTCTAGAAATGTCAGTCAGATCCAGTTGATTGGTGGTGTTATCTAGCTGTTCCACATCCATGCTGATTTGCTGTATCTGTTCTATCAATTACTAAGAGAGAAAAGTTGACATCTTCAACAAGCATTTGTATATTTTCTTGTCAGTTCTATCAGTTTTTGTACATTTTCTTGTCAGTTCTATCAGTTTTGCTTTATGTATTTTGCAGCTCTTGTTGTTAGGAACATTTAGGATTGTTTTATCTTCAGAGGGTGAATTGATCTCCATTTTATCTCTGGTGATTTTCTTTGCTTTATACTTTGTATGATGTTAATATAACCATTCCAGGTTTCTTTTGATTGACGTTTGCATGGAATATCTTTTTCTATCCTTTTATTTTTAATCTACCTATAGCATTATATTTAAGGTAGGCTTCCTGCACATGGCATACAGTTGGCTCTTTTTCCTTTTATTAACCCACTTGACAATCTATATATTTTAATTGGTGTGTTTAGACCATTTACATTTAATGTAATTATTTGTATATTTGGATTTAGGTTTACTGTTTTTTATTTGTTTTGTTTGTCCCTTTTGTTTTTGTTCTCATTTCTCCTTTCCTCCCTTTGGAATATTTTAATTTTTTTTTAGTATTCCATTATAACTGGATTATTGAGGTTTTTTTTACTGTGTTTGTACAGTTTTTTTGTTTGTTTCCTATAAGAATTACTATATAGATGCTTAACTTTTCACAGTCTATTTAGGATTAATATTTTACTACTTCAAATGCAATGTAGAAGCCTGACCACCACATAAGTCTTTTTATCCTCCCTTCTTTGTGATGTAGTTGTCATATATATTACATCTGCATACATTGGAAATCCCACCAGATAATGTTATGATTTTTGCTTTCAAACATCAAACATATTTAAAAACTTTAGAGGACTATTTACCAGATATTTACTCTTTCTTTTGTTTCCAGTTTTTATTGATGTATAATTTACATATAGCATGGTATAAGCTTAAGGTATAGAGCATAATAAGTTTACTTACATTTATTGTGAAATGATTACCACGATACGTTAACATCCATCATCTTACATAGATATAAAATAAGGGGGAAAAAACTTTAACTTGTGATGCAAACTTTAAGGATTTACTCTATTAGCCACTTTCAAAAGTGCCATACAGCAGTGTTGACTATAGTCATCATGTAGTAAATTACATCTCCAGTACTTATGTATCTTATAATTGGAAGTTTGTACCTTTTGACCACCTTCATCCAATTTCCTCATCTCTTATGCCCCACCTCTGGCAATCACAAATCTGATCACTTTTTTATCAGCTTTTTCTTTCTACTTTCTTTTTTTTTTTATTCCACCTGTAAGTGACATCATATAGTATTTGTCTTTCTCTTCCTGACTTATTTCACTTAGCACAATGCTCAAGATCCATCCATGTTGGCCCAAATGGCAAGGTTTCCTTCTTTTCAATGACTAATTCCATTCTGTATATATTCTACTTTTCTTTATCTGTTCATCTGTTGATGTACATGTAGGTTGTTTCCATGTCTTGGCTATTGTAAATAATGCTTCAGTGAATATGGGGGTGCAGATATCTCTTCAACATAAGGTTTTTGTTTTCTTTGAATATATACCCAGAAGTGGAGTTACTAGTCATATGATAGTTCTGTCTTTAATTTTTTCTCATATGTATTATTTTTGTTGCTCATCCTTTATCATTGGAGTTCTGTGTTTTCCTCTGGTATCATTTTGCCTCTGTCTAAAGAACTTCCTTTGGCAGTTCTTTCAAGTCAGATCTGCTGGCAGTGCATTCTTTTAGTTTTCCTCTTTTTGAGAATGTCTTTATTTTGCTTTCATTGACAAAGGTTATTTTCACAGGATATAGAGTTCTGGATTTGACAGTTTTCTTTCAACATTTGAAAATGGTGCCACTTCCTTCCTGGCTTTGAGGAGAAATCCTCAGTCATTCGAATTGTATAAGTAATGCATCATTTTTCTCTAGCTGCTTTCAATATTTTTCATTATCTTCATTTTTCAGAAATTTGATTATGGTATATTTGGGCGTGGATTTTTGTGGTTTATTCTGTTTGGAATTTACTGAGCTTCCTATTTTTGTAAACTTACGGGGTTTTGTTAATTTTGGGAAGTTGTCAGCCATCATTTCTTCAGAAATTTTTTGCACCACACTCTTTCTCCTTTCCTTCTGGGAATCCAGTAATACAAATATTAGACCTTTCTGTATTGTCTCTAAAGTCCTGGGGACTCTGTTAGTTTCTTCCAATCTTTTTACTCTCCTTTGTTGAAACTGGATAATTTCTATTGATCTGTCTTCAAGTTCACTAACTCTTTTCTCTGTTATTTCCATTCTGCTATTAAGCCAATCCAGTGAGTTTTTAATTTTGCTTATTTGTATTTAATTCTGAAGTTTTCATTTGATTCTTTTTGTTAAATACCTCTTCTGTTTCTCTAATAAGACTTTCATCTTTCCATTTATTTCACTTATTCTTAGAGCATGGTTATGTAACATTTGCTTTCAATCCTTTGTCTACTCATCCTAACATTTGTGTCATTGTTGGGGTTACTGTCAGTTGTCTTTTTCCTCAATAAGATGTTGAGTTTTTCTAGTTCTTCATATGTCAAGTAATTGAATGTCAAGTAATGATTGTATCCTGGACATCTTGAACATGATAGTATGAACTCTGGATTTATTTAGCTACTGCAGAGTTGTTTTGTTTTTTTAAGCAGGCAGTCAACCTGGTTAGATTCAGGTAACAATTTCCTACCCACCATTGGACTGTGGTTCCAATGTCAGTTAAGTGTTCAAAAGCTTTGCAGTGCTATTTTGGGATAAATTACACTTGGTTGTGGTCTATGATCCTTTTCACATGCTGTTAGATTTGGTTTACTAGTATTTTTTTGGCATTTTTGCATCTATAGTCATAACAGATAGTGGAAGCAAGTTTTCTTGTGATGTCTTTAGCTTTGGTATCAAGCTGGCCTCACAAATGAGGTCAGAAGTATTCTCTTGTCTTCTGTTTTTTGGAAGAGTTTAAGAAAGATTGGTGTTGATTCTTCTTTAAATGTTTGGTGGAATTCACAAGTGAAGCTATCTGGTCCTGTACTTTTATTTGTTGGGAAGTTTTTGATTACTGATTTGATCTCTTTGCTTATTGTAGGTCTGTTGAGATCTTTAATTTCTTCTTGAGTCAGTTTAGGAAATTTCTGTGTTTCTAGGAATTTGTCAATTTTGTCTAACTTATTGGCATATAATTATTCATGGATTTATCTTGTAATCCTTTTTCTTTCAGTATCAATACCCTCACTTTCATTTCTGGATTTAGGTTTTTGTGCCTTCTTTCCCTCCCCCCCCCCCACCTTTGTCATTAGTTAATGGTTTGTTGATTTTGCTTATATTTTCAAGAATGGTCTTAGTCTTATTGATCCTATTATTTTTCTATTCTCTATTTTACTTATCTCTGCTTAAATCTATTGTTTCCTTCCTTCTCCTAGCTTTGGGTTTAATTTGCTCTTCTGTCTCTAGTTCCTCAAGGTGTAAAGTTAGGGAATCAATTTGAGATTTTCCTTTTAATGACTTTGCTGCATGCCATAAATTTTAGTATGTCTTAGTTTCATTCCTCTGTAAGCATTTTCTAAATTATGTTTTGATTTCTTTTTTGACCCATTCATTGTTTATTTTCCACTTATTTGTCAGTTTTCCAGTTTTCCTTCTGTTACTCATATTTAGCTTCATTCCATTGTGATCAGAAAAGATACTTTGTATGATTTTGGTGTTTTTAATTTACTGAAACTTGTTTTGTGCTCTAACATATAGTCTGTCCTAGACTGAGAAGAATGTTTATACTGCTATTGTTGGGTGTGGTGTTCTATATACATCTGTTAGGACCAGATGGTTTTTAGTGTTGTTCAAGTCCTTTATATCCTATTGCTTTTCTGTCTAGATGTCCTATCCATTATTGTTACAGTGCTGTTCTGGTCTGTCCTGTGTGTGCCTGAGTGGCCAGTCTGGAACTGGGTTATAACATACTCTGTAGTTTATTTTTCCAGGTCTTTGGTGTGCTACGTAGGGTAAAATCCATGTGTCCACTGCTTGGGAGGGTTCCCAGGAGTTCATACACAGCTTGACACAATCTCATTCTTGAAATCTCTCCTTTCCATGTTCTCCCTGACCGTGTTTCAAGTTACTAAGAGTCCTCTGTCTCCAAAGGTGGGGCTTAGTTTCTCCACTCTTTTTCATACTTCCTGCCACTGTTCCTGATACAGACAGAGAAAAACCAAGGAATTTCCCCCACCCTCTCAGGACCACAGTTCTTCGGGCCAGAGAGAAAGTTTTCCCTATATTGGAATATCCGAGTTCCTGCTTCTTCAGCTGCTGCCATCATTGCCATTGATGCTGTGGTATTGTCTGGGGCCTGAGGCCATAAAGAATGATAAAAAACAAACAAAAATTTCCAGGGATCATTCCATTCTTCCTGATCTACAAGGCTCCGTTTCTTGCTCATTGGACCATAGTGTTAGTCAGATCCCACTGCCATAACAAAATACCATAGACTAGGTGGCTTAAACTACAGAAATTTATTTTCGAACAGTTCTGGAGGCTAGAAGTCCAAGATAGAGGTACTAGCATATTTGGTTTCTGATAAGTGGTCTCTTATTAGCTTGTAGATGACCACTTTTCCACCGTGTCCTCACATGGCCTTTCCTCTGTGCATTTGTGGAGTGAGAGCATCAGTGAGCTCTCTGCTGTCTTTTCCTATAGGGACACTAAGCCTATAGGATGAGGGCCTTACTCTTATGACCTCATTTAACCTTAATTTCATCCTGAGAGGCCTCATCTCCAGATACAGCCACACTGTGGTTTTGGATTTCAGCATATAAATTTGAGGGGAGGGAGCACAAGCATTTAGTCCAATCAGCTTTCCTTGGAACTCTTTCTGTCCATACCTAGTACATAGCTCAGGTTTTGTATAGCCTGGGAGTCTAGGCTAGGAGATATACCAGAAATGGAAATCACTGTTGGTTCAGTGGTATTTTAAATTCTGATCTCCTTCTCCAAACTGCCTGCCGCTTTTACCTTTCAGAAACCCTAGAGAGCTGCTCTGCCCAAGGTTCTTTGTTGCATCCAGTGGGAGAAATGAGGTAGAATATGCCTGGCCCATGTTCCTTAGAATTTTTTAATAAAAATTTTAATAAAAATAATTTTATAAAATAATTTTATTTTCAGCCTCTTTGTGTTATTTTCTTCTAGATGTATCTCTTATAAAGTTAGATTTTTAAGGCTTTAATCCAATAGTCTCTGTCTTTTAATAGAAAAATTGAATCAGTCACATTTATTGTGATTACTTGTATGTTTAGACTTTGATTTTACATGTTTTTTTTCTGCCAGACTGCTTTTCCATTAGATTAATTAGATTATTCCATTTTACCTATTTAATTTCCTCTAGTGATTTAAAAGTTGTGTTTCCTTTTTCTGTGCTTTCTGTGATTATATTTACACATATAGAATTAATTCATATGTATATCTCCTACCCAACAGGTTAAACACCTTAGCGCATTGTCATTTCCCTTCTCTCTGACTACCCTTGTTTTCTAGATTTAAGTTTTATAGAGTGTTTTGCTCACCACTGTTTCTTGAACTCTAAAATTCCCTTTTCCTTAGCAGGAAAAGAAAAAATAAATTGGTCTTCATCAACATGAAAAACTTATACATCAAGGACACTATCAAGAAAGTGAACAAACTATAGAATGGGAAAAATATTTGCAAATTATATATCAGATAAGAAACATAAAACATGGAAGAACTCTTACAACTCAACAAGAAGACAAACCCAATTAAAAAAATTGGCAGAGACTTAAATAGTTATTTCTCCTTAGAAGATATACAGTTGGCCAACAACCCTAAGAAAAGGAGCTCAACATCACTAGCCATTAGAGAAATGCAAATTAAAACCATAATGAGATACCATTTCATAACTGCTAGGATGACTTTAATTAAAGAAAAAAGGAAAATAATAATTGCAGCAATTGTTGGAAAGGATGTGGAGAAATTAGAGCCTTTGGACACTGCTTTTGGAATGTAAAATGATACAGCTGCAGTGTAAAACACTTTGGCAGTTCCTCAGAAAACTAAACATATAATTAACATCTGACCCATCAGTTCCTGTCCTGGGTATATACCAAAAAGAACTGACCAGGTTTCAAACAAAAACTTTGACATGAAACTTCATGGCAGCATTATTCACAATAACTAAAAGTTGGAAACAACCCAAATGTCCAATAACAGATGAACAGGTAAATAGAATATGGAATAGCCCTGTAATGGAATATGATGCAGCCAAAAAAAAAGGGAATTAAGTGATGAAATGATTTGGGAGTAAAAGTGATGTGGTGCTCATTGTGCATGTATTAAATGCCACTGAATTGTTCACTTTAAAATGGTTAATTTTATGTTATGTGAAAAATTCACGTAAAAATTTATTTTAAATATCCTTTTAAAAAAAAGGCAGTGAAATACTGACACATGGATGGAACTTGAAAACATGCCAAGTTAAAGAAGCCAGACAAAAGGCCATGTATTGTATGACTCCATTTATATGAAAAACTCAGTAGTCAAATCCATAGAGACTGAAGCTAGGGAGAGGAAGGAGTAGAGATGATCACTTAACTGGTACAGGGCTTTCTTTGGGAGCCATGAAAATGTTCTGGAACTAGATAGTATGATGGGTTGCATAACATTGTGAATTCACTAGATGTCCCTAATGGTAAATTTTGTGTATTTTGCCTTTTTTTTTTTTTTTTTTTTACAGTTTGTGTGTGTAAAGCTGAAGTATAATTCTTTCATTTTCATCTGCTTTTTTATAGCCAAATAAAGGATTTGACTAAGGAGATATAGAATTACATTTTTTTGCTGTTGCATTATGTTTTGATTTTTTTTAAACAAGTATTTGTCAGTGGTGATCTTGGAGTCATTACCTGTAAGAAGTTGTCTTTTATTGGTTTTCCCACGAAATTGCTAGTTCCTTGGAACTATGAAGCTACTGCTTTGTTTTCTGCTATCAGGGAGGTCTTTGATGTTGGGTTTTGTCTCTTGTCAATACGTATTTGTGCTGTTTCTCTCTGAAAGCTTTTAGGGTTTTCTTTTTATCTTTAGAGTTCCTGAGTTTCACTAAGAAGTGTGGATGTGAGGATCCTTTTTCAGTAAACCTCAGCACGTGGCCCTTTCAGAGGATGAAGGGAAATGTTTCCCTCTTGTTTCTTTGGTTGCTTTCCTTTTCTCTGTTCTCACCTCCTGGGATTACTTTGAGATGGTTGTTGGACTTATTGATTTATCCTCCCTCTCTTAATTTCTTCTGAAAAAGTCTCCTTGCCTTTTTGCTTTACTTTCTGAAAGATTTCCTGGACTTTTATTTTCCAGATCACTAATTGTCCATTCTGTTATTTAACCCTTCTGTTAAATTTGAAAATCTTTCATATTTTCAAATTCATAGCCTGTCCCTCCCCTCCCCCAGTGCCACGCACTGGAGAACTGTTGTAAGCCTTTTACTATGGCCCTTTTAACAGTTTCTTTTAGTTGTAAGGACACAGTGTCCATCTTTATTCTGACTGCACTTGTTAGGATTTTTCAGAATCTGCATTTTTACTGGATCTGTAGGTTATACACCCCAGTCATAGGTCATTCCCTTCTCCTCACAGATACTCACCTGATGGAGTTTTGCCCTAGTGGGGGGCTATCTTCCTGCAGTCTGTGGTGACCATGGCCTTGTCCTGGGGTCCCATTCTCAGCATGATGGTGGCTGCCGTAAGTCCTGCCACGCTCTGGCCTGGCCCCAGGGCATTCCTTCTCTGAGTGTGGAGAAACTCTGCCTGCTCCAGGGAGCTGACCCCAGGGCTTGAGACGAGTGGCCACACAAAGGTGTCAGGAAGGTCTGCCCTTTTCCACTGGATTCTGAGCATAGCCATATCTAGCTTACATTTTTAGATAAGACTTACATATGATGAAATGCACAGATCTTAAGTGTACAGTTGAATGTTTTGAACTGGAACCATATTCCTAGTTCCCCCAGTGAAGATATAAAATTATCCTGTAGCCTCAAAAGTTCCCTCATGCCCCTTTGGAATCAATCCCCAGCCTCCACCTCCTGAGGCAACTGCTGTTTCCATTTCTTTCACTACATTTTTCCTGCTTGAGCTTTACAGAAATGGAATCATATGGTACATCTTATGTGTCTGGCTTCTTTCATGCAATGTGATGATATTCACTGTTAGGAATCTTCTATTTTTGTCATTCATAATCATATACCAATATTCTTTTTTATTGCTTAATAGTGTTCCACTTTATGAATATAACAGTTTTATCTCCTTTTGGACATTTGGACTCTTTCTAGCTTTTTGGCTATTATGAACATTCTAGTACACCATGGCTATGTACCTAGGAGAGGAGTTCTGGGTCAAATGCAGGATAGTGTGCATTTTTGGTTTTTTCACTACAATGTATCTCCTTCGTTGCTCCCACTTTCAGTAGGGTTGCCTCACCCTGCCTGGCCTGCAGGGTGTGCTGAGGGGGCCACAGAGGGAGTAGTGGCCTTGAAGGGTGGAGGTGCTGTGGCTGGGGTCAGGGGTCGCCGTGGCTGTACTGAACTCCAGCTCTGCCTGCTTCGTTACTGGGCACTGCCCCAGCCACCCACCTTCCCCACATGAACGAAGGCAGCAGCCGGCCTCCAGCCATCCTCTCTCCTCCGCAGCCCCCGAGTGTGGGCTCTCCTTCTGGTGTAAGTGGACCCTGCCACTTCCTGGCCTTCAGGGACCCCTTGGCACTTAGGACAGAGCCCCAAGTATCCAAGGCCTGCTGACCCTCCCAGCCTCTCTCATGTTGTCCGTGGCTGGGCTGGGGACTTCCCTCCCTCCCCAGACTTCCTCCCAGCAACTCAGGCATTGATATGGGACCTGGCTTTCCTCTCATGAGGGTGACCTTCCCTGTCAGGTCGGCTGGAATGCCCAGTGGGAGCGTGGCCCTGATGGAAGCGTATGTGTGCGTACTGTGGCTCTGGAGCCCAGCTGGGTCTGGCTCAGGGCTTGTGCCCAGTTCCTCACTGGAGGGAGACACTGCAAGTCCCAGGGGGCTGGCTGGCTGCTGTCTGAGGGAACTGTCCCCCGAGTCCCTCCTGTGCCCACCCTGCTTGGCCTGTCTGCCAGCCTGACTCAGCTCCTGGAGGCCCTGAGCCCCGAGGAGATGATGTCACCCCCGTTGTCCTCCTCCTGAGTTCACTTCCCGTGAGCACCAATTCTACACTGCAGAGTGAACGCAAGGAAGGCCAACGACCTGGATTTCCTCCCAGCAAATACCTGGATGCTTTAAATAAATGGAGAGTGAAAACATGAATCTGAATAAGACGCAACCTTTTGCCTCCCCGTCTCTCCTTTTCCTGTGGCCCCTTCAGCTGATTGGTATTGAGAGCCAGTGTCTCCCTCCCTGCTGGTTCCCCAGACCCTCTGTGCCCTGCGTGCCCCCCAAGGGGCCCAGCTCCAGCCTTGCCCTCTGCTCCACAACTCTCAGTAACTTTGGCTGAATGAACAAAGTAATGTGGAGGCCAACTTTAAGCTTTGAAATCCATTTAAAGTCCTTTTCCAAGTAAAGGTGGTTATTAAAATGGAAAAGAAAGTCATTCTTGAAAGAAGCCAAGGAAGACAGTAGAAATCTGTCTTGTCGTAGAATACACTGCCATTTCTGACAGCAGGCGGCTCCTCCATGTCGCTTCTGGCCTCCCTTCGCCTTTTCCTTCTCTGGCGCTTTTTCTGGTGCCTTTGGCTTTGCATCTGGGGGTGGCATGGGGGGCCCTTCGTTTCTTTTGTCCTTTGGTGGAGGAGGGACCAGCACATTCTTTCTGACCTTCTTGCCTTTGAAGTGTTTTCTTTGGAGACTTATATCAATTAAAGCAAAAAATCCAGCCACACCCATAAGAATCTGGAAAACAAAAGGATCCTCATTACTCTTCTTTTTATTTCAAAGCCGGTGTATTCCTTCCTTGTTTCTAATTTGTCAGTAGGCTCTATTGAACACCCTCCCCTTGTGCCCTCAAAGCGCGGGATGGCAGACAGCTTGCCCCTCCCCCAGCCTCAGCTTTCCTGTGCCCGCTGACCTGTCACCTCACTGGCTTGCTTTCTCTCTGTAAACGCGGCGGTGTGGCCGCCCTCCACCTCAGGGGTGGGCAGCTGTGAGGAGGAAGCTGTAGCTTGGCTCCACCCTGGACATCATCTCTATTTAAATGGCACTTCCTCTGCAGGCATTTACCAACTTTTCTTTTAAACTTTGCTTGGATCCCAAGATTTTGTGAAAGAAGACCTTTCCTTAAAACACGGGAAAAATGTCCGTTTGCTCAGAGGTGATTTCTGAGCAATTAAGCAGCCCAGGATGAAAGACTCACCACAGCGACCAGGTAGTGCACGGGCATGGTTTGTCGACTTCTTACGGCAAAGATGATGGCCTCCACGAGCAACACACAGGTGAACAGGCCATTGAGAAGGTCCTGAAAGCATGAGAGAGAGGAGAGTCAGCTTAGACGCTGCTCAGGCCCCGGCAACATTTGACCTGCCATGGCTTCCTCCAAAAGAAGTGGTTTTCAAACTTCTGCCTGATAAAAGAAAAAACAAATCTATTTATCTATATATCTATGTCTATATATGTATGTATATGAAAGGAAACTTACACTGGGCTAGGTGGACATTCCTGTTGCCTCCCAGTGGCTGTTTGAGACCCAAAGCCCAGGAAGTTGAGCTGCCTTTGTGCATGGGCTCCCTCCACTACCATGTCATCTGTGAAATCACACACTTAATGGCCAGTTCTATTTGTTATTTTTTCCTCCAGTACTCATTTAAATAAATGCACAACTATGCAGTTTAATGATGTCCCTCTTGAGCACCACTCCACATCATCTTTCTGCTGTCAGGGTCAGTTCCCATCTCTGGATCCCCGGCAGGCTTTGCTGCCAGCAGGAGGCTCTCCTGGATTCTGGCTATTGGGAGCCCAGCAGCTCCCTTTTCACCCCTCTTTCCTGCCTGCTGCCCTGCCTTACTTCCTAGATCACCCTCTCACCTCTCTGTAAGGCTGTACCACCTGCTCTATTTGACCTTCCTTCCTGTAGTTTGTGGCCTCAATCTTGCCCTTGCCCTATACTTGTTTTGCTTAACCTACTGACAAGGTCCAGATGTTCCCAGACTGGGCAAAACGGATGCCTTCCAAGCTGCCTTTCCTGAAGTCCCACCCACTGTTGCTCCCTGCAATAGCCAGACTTCTCAGAGTTGGCTAAACCAGCAAGCCCAGCTTCCTACCCCATCGTTTCTAGAGTTAAGAGTAGCCCAGAGCCTATACACCCTCTTAAGCCTCTGGGCAGCAGCTGACCCTGCAGCACTGGACAAAGCCCACCCTTCCCCTTGGTTTCTATGATGCCATTTTCTGCGGATTATCCTTCCCTGGCCACTTTGTTGTCACAGGCCTTTTTTCCTTTTCAATGTTTTGAATTGTAGTACATCACAGACATCAGAAGATTATAGAACATCCTGTCTCCACTCACACCTCCACCAGCCATGAGCCACAGAGATTAAACATATGTTTAATAATATCTTGTAAGGTCTCTTACCTTGCAGAAAAAGAAAAAGGTAAAACTCTGTGGAGTGAGCTACAGTCTCACCATTCCATCCCTTTTCATGCTTCTCTCCCAGAGGAAACGATGCCTTGCAAGCTGGTGGGTAGTGTCCAAGTATGCATTGGTATTTTCTTCCATATTATATATTCATAAACAATTTCCACTATTTTGTGTGTTTCAAAAATTTAAATTTAAATACATACCTAGCACTGACTTTTAAAATTTAACACATTTTTTTGAGATCCATTCTGAGAACTAGAGATTGAATTCATTAATTTTAACTGATGTAGTTTACTCTATGAAGAAACTACACTAGAGATATTAGGTTATTTCTACTTTCTAAAAAATTATTACAAAAAAAATATTTGCTGCAGTGAACACTCTTGTCTGTGCCTCCTATGCGTATCTTCTCCTTGGCAAGGTGTTGCCAAGTGCTCGTGTCAATTTCCCCTCGTTCCAGTAACGTGCAGGAGCACCCGTTTCCCATGTCCTTGCCAACATACAGGATGTTTTTGCCAATCTGATGACTCAAAATGGTACCTTGTTGTTTTAACTTTCAGGTCCCTGGTTATTAGTGAAGCATTTTAAAAAACATTTTAGGCATTTGGGTTTCCTGACTAGTTCGTATCCCTTGCCCCACAAAACAATTTAACAAAATGGCAATAGTAAGTCCTTACCTATGAATAGTTACTTTAAATGTAAATGGATTAAAATCTCCAATAAAAAGACATAGGATGGATGAATGGATTAAAAAACAAAACAAAACAAAGGTCTAACAATATTCTGCCTACAAGACTCACTTTAGCCTTAAAGACACACTTAGACTGAGAATGAAGGGATGGTAAAGATATTTCAAGCAAATGGTAATTTTAAAAAATCAAGAGTGGTTATATTTTTATCAAACAAAATAGACTTTAAGCTAAACATGGCAAAAGGAGACAAAGATCATTTGTAATAATAAAGAGTCAGTGCCTCAAGAGATATATAACAATTGTAAATATTTATACCCCCAATATTGAAGCACCTAAATACATAAAGCAAAATCTAACAGATCTAAAAGGAGAAATAAAGAGTAATACAATAATAGGTACTTGTTAATACCCCACTCTCAACATTGGATACATCATCCACATACAGAATCAACAAGTAAACAGAATATTTGAATGACATTATAGACCAAATAGACCTAAATAGACATATGCAGAACATTCTTTCAATTACAGCAGAATGCATATTCTCCGGAAGAGTACATGGAACATTTTCTAGGATAGTCCATGTGTTAGGCCACATAATAAGTCTTAACAAATTTGAGAAGATTGAAATCATACCAAGTATCTTCTCTGACCACAAGGGCATGAAACTAGAAATCAACAAGAAGAAAACTGGAAAATCCACGAACATGTGGCAATTAAATAGTGCTCTCCTGAACAACCAGAAGATCAAAGAGGAAGCTAAAGGGGAAATTTTAAAGTTTCTTGAGAAGAACAAAAATGGAAACACAACATATTGAACTTAAGGGATAAAGCAAAAGCAGTTCTGAGAGGGACATTCATAGCAATAGATGCAAACATTAAGAAGCAGAAAAGATCCTAAGTAATCAGCCTCTCTACTCCTTAAAGAACTAGAAAAAGAAGAGTGAACTGAGCCCAAAGTTATGTCAAAGAAATGCCAAAGTTATGCCAAAGAAAAAAATGAAATAGAGAACAGAAAAACAATAGAAGAGATGAATAGATTAAGAGTTGATTCCTTAAAAAGATAAACAAGATGCATAGACCCTTGCCTGCACTAATGACCAAGGAAAAGAGAGAAAGGACCTGAAGCAACAAACTTATCAAAGGATCATAAGAGGCTACTATGAACAAACTATATGCCAACCAACTGAACAACCGAGGAGAGATGGAAAAACTCTTAGAAACATACAACTTACCAAGACTGAATCAGGAAGATACAGAAAATGTGAATAGACCAATTACTAGTAAGGAGATTGAATCAATAATAAAAAATCTCCCAATGAAGAAATCTCCAGGACTAGATGAATTTCACCAAAATTTTAAGAAAAATTAACACGATTCCTTCTCAAACTCTTCCAAAAAAGTGAAGAGGAGGGAACACTCCCAAACTCATCTTACAAGGCTAGCATTATCAGGATACTAAAACCAAAAAAGGACATTCCTAGGAAAGAAAACTACAGGTCAATATCCCTGATGAATATAGATGCAAAAATGCTCAGTAAAATACCAGCAGACTGAATTTTCAGCACATGAAAAGGATCATTCACCATGATCAAGTGGGATTTATCCCTGGGATGCAAGAACAGTTCAACATAGGCAAATCAGTTGGTGTGATACATTACATTAATAGAATGAAAGAGAAGAATCATATGATTATTTCAAAGATGCAGAAAAAGGATTTGACCAAATTCAACATCTATTCATGATAAAAACTCTTAACAAATTAGGCATAAAAGGAACATATCTCAACATAATGTATGACAAGCCCAGAGCTAATATCATACTCAATGATGCAAAGATGAAAGCTTTTCTTCTAAAATCAGGAACAAGACATGGGTGCCCGTTCTTACCATTCTGATTCAGTATAGTAATGGAAGTCCTAGCTAGAGCAATCAGGCAAGAAAAACAAAAAGTATGCTATCCATTGTCCCATTTTTCTACTGGCTTGTTTAAAAAATTTTGTTAATGATGCCTTCTGTTGTAAAACTTTAATTTTAATGGGATACATAGTTGCTCTCTCTCTCTCTTAGTTCCATGAATATTTAGTAAATACTCCATTCAACTATTGTATAATGCCATCTCTCATACACCAAGTTGCCATATGTATGTAGGTCTATATCTTGAGTTCTCTTTTTATTTTTAATTTTTATTTTGTTGTCATTAATCTACAACTACATAAGGAACATTATGTTTAATAGACTCCCCCCATCACCAAGTCCCCCGCACATACCCCATTATAGTCACTGTCCATCAATGTAGTAAGATGCTATAGAATCACTACTTGTCTTCTCTGTGTTGTACAGCCCTCCCCGTGTGCCCCCACACATTATGTCTGCTAATAGTAATGCCCTCCTTTTTTCCCCCCCTTATCCCTCCCTTCCCACACATCCTCCCATCTCCCTTTCTGCTTGATAACTGTTAGTCCATTCTTGGGTTCTGTGAGTCTGCTGCTGTTTTGTTCCTTCAGTTTTTTCCTTTTTGGTATCATTAATCTACAGTTACAAGAAGAACATTATGTTTACTAGGCTCCCCTTTTCACCAAGACCCACCCACATACCCCTTCACAGTCAATGTCTATCAGTGTAGTTAAGATGCTGTAAAATCACTACTTGTCTTCTCTGTGTTGTAGAGCCTGCCCCATACCCACCCCACACATTATACATGCTAATTGTAATGCCCCCTTTCTTTTTCCTTGCCCTCATCCCTCCCTTCCCACCCATCTTCCCCAGGCCCTTTCCCTTTTGTAACTGTTAGTCCATTCATGGGTTCTGTGATTCTGCTGCTGTTTTGTTCCTTCAATTTTTCTTTGTTCTTATACTCCACATATGAGTGAAATCATTTGGTACTTGTCTTTCTCCGCCTGGCTTATTTCACTGAGCATAATACCCTCTAGCTCCATCCATGTTGTTGCAAATGGTAGGATTTGTTTTCTTCTTATGGCTGAATAATATTCCATTGTGTATATGTACCACATCTTCTTTATCCATTCATCTACTGATGGACACTTAGGTTGCTGCCATTTCTTGGCTATTGTAAATAGTGCTGTGATAAACATAGGGGTGCATCTG